GATCCATGTTTTGGACTTTCTTTACTTCCATGAGTAATAACTGAATAACTAGGAACTAGACGGGATATCTCTAGACATAGGTTGTAAAATGAGAAAAATCTACCCCCGTAGATTAAATAAAGGATTCAGTTCGGAATTCCCTGTAACTTATCCCTATAGAGATACATCTTATGAAGGCCGTAGAGCAAAGTGGCCGAAACGGTGTGATAACAACAAAGACAATAGTCCGTGTGTAAACAGTGTGAATAATGATAATATTATCTTATTCGAGCAGACATGGATATTACAAGACTTCTAAAAGTTTTCATCTGGCTTTCGGGGTCAGGATGTTCATGCAGTTTGGGATTCTCTCCAAGAAATACCAGAAACTTGAATCGAATTTAACCTTGGTCTAAGAAGATTTGATCTGTGATGAACCCAGTATGCCTTAGCCTAATAGATATCGAAATGAACTTTTTGCTCAGTGTCACCTCAGAACCTCAAAAGAGCAAGGGTTGATCAAGAAGAGTACACCGGAGCCACCAAGTGTAGAATTGGACCTCATTGTCGCAGAACCGCAAAGGACCTAGGGACATCAAGGATTGATTTCAAAGATGACCTCAAGGACACTAAATGCAGAATCGGGCCAGCATTCACTGTCATCGAGGCCGGGGGTTATTTTACATAGAAAATTAGCAGTTTTTCTTCGTTTCTAATCTGTTGTCATGAAATTATTCACGTGATCATTGGTGATGTTGTCGTCGATAACAATTCTTCCTTGACTTCCGACGTAGGAATCTTTTCTAAAAAGTGGCAATACTTTGGGAAAACATCAGCTTGAGAATTTTCCTTATTAAAATGTCAAAAAATTGTAACACATTCAACATGATGGGTAAAAACAATAGTGAATTTTACATATTGTTTTTTTTAATCAGTGTCACCCCAGCCACTAACACACAATAGGTTACAGAAGAATTCAGAACAGAAACATTAATAATGAGAAAGAGGAAAGAGTAATCGGGGGGACAGTAGTATGGCATTGCATTTAAATTTTTGAAGATTAACGTTGGCTGGAAAACATGGAGCCGGAAGGAAGTTCCACAAGCAAGACGTGCGATGAAAGAAACTGTTAGCATAGTAGTTACGACTACATCTATCTAGCTCAACTGTAAATTGATGAGATCTCGCTGCCATTTTAGTATTGCGCTGAAATTCATACAGTCAAGGTACCACAGTAAAAAATTATCTGAATAGTTACCATGAAAATATTTATAAAAAAGGCACAGAGGCAACTTTACGGTGGTAGGCAAGTGACCGAAGCCGAGCCGCCAGATCAGGACCAATAATATTGCTGATCTCTTCTTTGGATCTTATCAAGGAGCTCTAGGTAAAAACAGCGTAGGACCAAGGATGGAGCCCTGAGAGACGATATTCAGTCACCCCCCACGAGGGTGTCATGTGGCACAAGGCCTTTTTAACGTAGGCATTCCGAGCCCGTGGGATCGGCCAAAAATATGCCCATCGAACCTGTATGAACGGGTTCAGGGCCGGTTTTACCTCCCCGAAGGAGACTCCGCCCTTCGGCGTAGCCTCCTTCGGGTTCTTCCCGTCCGTAGGAAGAGAGTTCAACCGAACAGTCGGTTCAAAAGTGAACGACTGACTGAGAGACACCCGCGTTAGTACGAATGGATGTAGACGAGTGGCAATCCAGGATAACTTTCATTTCACGATTTAATAGGAGCGACTGGATCAGCTAAAAAATTTGTCTGGAGATACCATAACTTTTCAGCTTGTGGAGAAAACCTGAATGCCAAACCTTGTCAAAAGCTTTTGAGCTGTCCAAAGCTACAACACGGGATTCGCTGTTTTTATCTAAAGCACGATATACTCTTTCCGCAATTATCGTTAGTACATCAGCATGGACCGGGAGAAACGAAAACCATATCCCTTGTCTGTGAAAGAGCCATGTAATGAGAGATGATGAGCTAATTCAGTATTGATTAGGGCCACTAGGAACGGTTCATCAGAGTTCTTAAAACTACTACAGCAGACGATGACCTCCAACAGGAAGGAAAGCAGGAAGCAGTGAGACATTTATTTTACAGCTTAGAGAGAACAGGAGCCAGTTCTGGATTACACTCTTTAATGACTTACAGAGATACCATCGGTTCCACATACTTTGTTAGGATCAAGGTTAGAAATGACAGCAGACACCATGGAAGGGATTATATGCATATAACTCAACAGATATTCAGTTCCAAGTGAGAAGTTCGGCAGGGATACTCCAGATGAATCCAGAGTAGAGTTTGAGGAGAATTTATGGACAAAGGATTAAGCTTTATCAACAGAGGATGATACCACTTCAAATCGAATGAAGAGGAGGGACAGAGATCTTGCATCTATTTATTGCCCTATTACAGAAACATCAGTTATCATGAGATCGAAAGATTTTAGTGGCTATGCGTTGCCTCATTCTCCTAGCAAACAGGAACGGGGCTCCTTCGAGCACTTGCTTACATTTGTTACTAGCAGTAGCGAATAACCACCTGTTATGACGAAAGCTGTCACGCTGGTATAGCCGGAAATAGTGGTTCTTGCGTGCTATGGCGGCCGAGCATGCTGGTGTGAACCATTGTGAGGATTACGGTTTCACCTGGTATTTCCGAGAAGGGCTGAAAGCGTCCATAACGGCTTTGACTCAGAAAGAAACCTCAGTGGCGCCATTTTCAACTGGGAGGTTGAAAATGATAGTTTAAGAGGCGTCACGAAGAGACGGAATAATAAGTCCCAGTCAGCGGGCTGTTAACGGAAACAGGTCATATGGATAGGGTGTTCCTGTTTAACGGATGCTTGGAAGGAGATATCAACAGCTACCACAGAGTGATCTGAGTTACCAAGAGTGCAGCATGAGCGAGAAGAGGAGATAAGAAAAAGATCCAGTAGAGAATCCTATTGCTTGATATGGTTAGGGAAATGAGTAGGTCCACGATTTGAGTGAGGGTTTGGGCAATGGAAAAATTTAATGTCTGTAAATTGGCAACATCAATATCTTAGGAATATTTCAGCCACGTATTGTGTTGAGCATTAAAATCACCGAAGACAAAAATGTTCGCACATGGATGGAGAGAAAGCGCCTTTTCTATACTGTCAGATATTGTGTTTAATATACTGCAGTCTTGAGAAGAGGTGGATCAATAGAGGAAAAAGAGATAGCTTTTAGTAGCGAAAGACGGGTGCATATGAATGAGTAGTCGGCGGCCTCAAAAGCCATCGGAAGATTATCCTGGATGTAAACACCAAAACCCTGCATGTGAATGTTGGGATCTTTTTGGCAAAGAGGAAGATTCCTTGGAATTAAGAATTCATTGGTAGCAATGGAAGAATTCAAGTTGGTTTCTGTTGAAGCTTGGATAAGCATGGAATAATAATAATACAACACAAAATGTACGTAAACAAAATGTATTAAAACAAGGAAAAAGGTACACAATATTTCCAGTTAGTTTTGATATATTCTTGGGAAGACTGTTCCTGTAGAATGGGTTGTCTTAATCGCAGTCGGGCAGAGTCTCTCGATTCGATCTCTTCTTACTTCTTCCCCGTCTTCCGGTACCAACCCATATTTATATCGTCGGTACTCCACTATGTAAATTAGGTGGATCGTACCACAACAGTTTCACAAACTGGCAAAGATATAGGGTGACCGTTCCAAGAGAAAAGATTCTACCCTGCAGAATTTGGAACGGATACGACGAATATTGTCGAAAGAAAGGCTGAGGAGGGTAGCTGTTTTTTTTTTTTTATCTGGTTTAATTTTATTTCTTTTTATTGCAATTTCCATGAGATATGTTTTGAAGAGAGACAAAAAAACATAATTGTCACTATTTCTTGTCAATGGCAACACGGAGCAGCCAGTGCGTGGCAGAGAGCAATAGCATAAGGTTGCTCCATGTTTGCCCACCGGAAATACATGCAGTGATACCTAACCACGCGAGACATGGCACTACAGATACCCTGATATTATGCGACGTTTGATCGGAGCAGCCTCCCTAAGCGTTACCAAAGAGTTCGGGCTCCTAACGACCAGTCGGAAGTAGTTTCAAGACTTAGCATAATCAAAACAAATTCACGGATTTGGACGAAAAAAAAAAACAAAAAGAACCCAGAATGACGTTAAAATCCAGAAAAATTGTTCATCCATTAATAGTTGTGCTTAATTTAATTTGTAACGTCTTTAAATGTGGGTAGAAAAGATCAAACGTTGTTAAGGGTCACAAAGCATCACCCGGGACCCCAATCAGGTTTGCTCCCAGTCGGGGTGTTCGGGAGTAGTACGCACCGGCCCTGTGCGTTGTAGTTAATTACTTGCAAGAGTGATAAAATAAACTGACCTTTCATCATCTTTAGTAATGGTTGATGTATATTAGTCCCACTTGAGGTCTACAGTGAACCTAAGACCTAATAGACATTCAAGTCCGTAGCCTCATTGAGGGTGCAACTGTTTATCATGCCTGTAGAAATCTCAACGTCTAATCGATAATGATTTAGGTACTGGTTAAACATTATAAACACTTTTATATAATTTACAATACCGATTTTTAAAGCAACTAAACTTGAAAGATTGGCGTAAAACCACGTTCTTACTCTTCATTTCTCTCACATAGCTTTCAGACGAAGTAAGCTTTGATTAATAAATACATTTTAGGGGCTGAGGATAGCACAAGTCGAAACGAGGATTGGTTTATCTTCCTAATAGAAAAAATAGATTTTTAAATTAACTAGGCCCTTCCAACTTGAAAGATTGGCGTAACATCACGTTCTTTCTCGTCATTTCTCTTCATTTCTTTCATATAGCTTTTAGACGATTAATAAATACATTTTAGGAGCTGAAAATAGCTCAGGTCGAAACGAGGAAGGATGTATCTTCATCACAGAAATGGGAATGTCTTGAAAATTACCAACGAATATATAAACTATGAAAATGTGATGCATTTGTGGATTTACAAATTTCGAAAATATGAGGCTTACGGTCACATCACGCTGAAACCCCGGTTCCCGTACGATCACCAAAGTTCAGCAACGTCAAGCCTGGTCAGCACTTTGATGCATGACCGCTTGGGAGTGCTAGGTGCTCTAAGCTTTGATGTGCGGGTGGTGTAATGGTTTATGGCTCAGAATTCTTAATCGGAGTTTCAATTTCAATTGGGTTCGTGATATTCACTTACGCGCAGATAACATTGAGAAAGTTATAAATACAGTTCTTCTCTCCCCATCTATGGATTAATTAATGTTGTATAGGAGTAAAGTGTCACTGTTAATAATGGAGTTTGAACACAGATAACCTGTGATCATTGCATTAATTAGTCTAATTGATCACTATTTCTATACTATCCTCTATTACTATACAGATCGCTATTCTCTATACTATTTCTCTACACGGATCACTACACGGATCACTAGTCAGTTGTTACTTTCAAGTGAGAATTACCGAGCAAGTACTATTAGTGCGAATGTTATTTAAAGCCGTCTGAAACCAGTATTGTTCAATAGCATTACTATAGGTGTAACTACGATTAAGATATCTCTACGACAACGAGCATTACGAAAATGACAACGAGTGTTCGTTGACATCACAAAAATTAGTAAGACTTGTATCACTAAATCATTATCTTTAAAAATTAAAAATTCTTGCAATCTAAAAATAGCTTCTGCCTTTAAATAATGGGTTGATAAGCCAGAAAAAAAATGAATCGATCAATCAGTCAACCAAAACCTGAAGAGAGAAAAAGTAAAAAGTTGCAGGGTCGGATTGGGAAATGATTTTCAATCAGGAAATCGTTCTCATCTTTAGTGATTATGCTACCTGTTTTGTTTTTCGGTGTTCTCATTCGAAATGCGATATTTTTTTTCCGCAGACAAAATTTGGTACGTATTCATCGCAATTTTATTGAAGTCATGTTTCATTACTTCGTCGGCCATCAACAATACTTTTTTGTTCAATTAAGATTCGTTCTCGCCTCTCTTAACATCTTTGTACGGCATTGATATAATTTGACAGCAGAAGAAAGCGCAAAGACATGAAAGACACAATGAGCCAACGTTTTTTTTTTGCATTTTTTTCCGTTTTCCTCTTTTTTGTTATTGTAATCTTTAAAATATATCACTTGGAACCGTGATATTCATTTTTAACTCTTTGTACGGGACAAAGAAATTTGCCGCAATATATATCTTGTCAACCAATATCAAGTAACGGTCTTTCTTTCTCTCTCTCTCTCTCTCTCTATATATATATATATATATATATATATATATGTGTGTGTGTGTGTGTGTGCGTGTGTGTGTGTGTGTGTGCAGGTATGTAGAAAATAGGAAAGAACACGTTAGGTAAATAATCCAGGGTTCTTTAGTATTTTTGTTTTATTTAAAAAAAGTGATCCATACAAGTAGAGCTTAGAAGGAATCATATTTTAAAAAATAATTATAAGCGAAGGAATCATATTTAAAAAAAAAAAATTATATATATATATATATATATATATATATATATATATATATATATATATGAATTCATCTGTCTCTTTAGGAACTACTTTCCAGATCAAACCAAATTCATGAATAATTATATTGGACCTACAACTACAATCCTATGAAGAAGACTCATACTACACCTCTCAGACAATAGCACAGTTAGGACTCATTTAAACACACACGTAAACCTACCAAATTCCATCCTCAGCAAACTTGTAGAATATATTAGCCTCACCCACATATAAAAAAGACTAAAAATAATGGAAGCGCTAATAATAAAAAAAGAAGTAAAAGCCAACTCTCAATAACATCAACTATGAACACGGCCACAATATACTGAACATGTTTGGAGAAATTAAAAAAAAATTCCTGCCACTCTAAACACATATATAAAAAAATTTACATACGCAGTTAAGAATAAAAATAACAAAAATTATCCTTGGTAATGGCGCTAAACGAATAGCATGGATATATAGAATATTTGGACAATTTTTAGAGAATTTATGTCCAGAAAAGAAAAACACATATACGAACATTAAATAAAAGTTTTAATCACTACCTTGTCAATCGTTTTTTTTTTTTAATGAAGCTTATATATATATATATATATATATATATATATATATATATATATATATATATATATATATATATATATATATATATATGAAAAATATAGTTTTAAGGTATGCTATATTTATGGAATAAAGTGCTCAATATCAGAGATATAGCGTATGTAAATATAAATATAAGCGTGAACATTGAAGTCAACACTCAGAGGCGACAGACTGTTTCATGCTAGACGCAATCGTCAGGCCGCACGTTTACGTCTAGCAGGAAACAACCTGCCACCTCTGAGTGTTGACTACAATGTTCACGCTTATATTTATATCTATCTCTCTCTCTCTCTCTCTCTCTCTCTCTATATATATATATATATATATATATATATATATATATATATAGTACCGTCAAACATACACATACATATATGTATATGCGTGCCCGTGTGTATGTGGAGGGGACGCTTGCGTGCATGTCTGCCTGTCTGTATGTCTGCCTGTGTGTGTGTGTGTGTGTGTGTGTGTGTGTGTGTGTGTGTGTGTGTGTGTGTGTGTGTGTGTGCGCGCGGGCAAAATATGTGTGGATAGTGTAATGGTTGTCGGTGAGGAAAATGGAAACGTCAAGCCGAGTTCAAATTTCGGGCCAGACTGTTCTGAATATTTTCGCGTTAATGCCGTTAGGAAAGGGCATGAGTTCATCTCTTCTCCCCTCACCTCTAGACTAATAAATAGCAGGGTAGACTGGCTCTCTAGACCAGTTTGGCAAGCAGTTTAAGCAGTGAATAATCCTGATTTCCAAACATTGGAGAAGGCAACGTGAAACCACTTTCTCGAAAAGGCGTAACATTTCACAGATAATAAAACCAAAACGGAATTTGAGAAAAGTGAAGGGCCCCTTATGTCTGAAGAGACATGGCATTTAAAATATCTTTAGGAATATTTTATGTGTTTTTAGAGTAAAAGAAAATCTGGAACTTTTGTTTAATCTGAGTTTTAATTGAAAAAAAAAAGTGAAAAATTAAAAGATAAAGCCGAAATATCTAGACATGTGTTTATTTCCGTGGTTTTATGGAAGACCAATGGTTTGGTGAAAGACAACTGAACGTGTGACACAGAAATCCTCGGGTGCATAGGAATGGCGAAGGGTGCTTTTCGAAACAAAAGCAGGAAGTTACAGAGAGCCACGAATACCAACGTTCTGAATGAGATAGATATTGAGAGAGAGAGAGAGAGAGAGAGAGAGAGAGAGAGTCAAGTGAATAAAAAATGACCCGTTGTCTAAAGAGATTTTATTTGTAAAATTGGCTCAAATCTAGAAACGCTTTATATCCAGACATGAGAACTTAGAAGAAAGAAATACAATAGATACAAACAGAATGGTTTTGGTTTTCCGCTCTGTAAAATAAGGATCTCGACAAAATATATCTCGACCAGATTTCTTTCCTTTTGGTGGATCTCGTCTACTACTACTACTACAAGAAGAAGAAGAAGAAGAAGAAGAAGAAGAAGAAGAAGAAGAAGAAAACAACCGATAAAGTTTCAATAAGAAATTTTGACATGAGAGTAATTATTGACTTTTTTTACCTTTAGTCTAAAATGTGTTTAGATATATATTAGTGGTGTTTTGAAGGTACCCCAACATAGAATTATTTCTACACCAAAAAAGCACTGTTTGGAATTACTACTAATTCCATGCAGTGCAACAGAGAACCTAACTCACATAAAAAAAAAGAAAAAACATACTAACAATAAAAGCCTTGAAAATGACTAATGAAATGGCCGCAAGCTTTTGAGACAATCATCACGATGGAGAGTTTCTACAATCTCTAGAATTCACATGAAAGAAAAACATTAGAAAGATTTAATAAACAGAATAGAAACTTTTACTTCGTCACATTGAAATAATCGTAAAATAAAACTTTCCAAAGGAAAACAAAATTAAAAATCCATATTCAATAATAAGTTTATTTCGATGAATGTAAGCATATTTATCTCATCAGACTGACTACATTTTCTGAAATGAATCGGTCTGATGAGATGAATATATCTATACTCAGCGAAATAGATTTATTACCGAATACGGATTTTTAAATTTTTTCTCCTAATTATTATTATAATTTACTCTGCATCATGCACTGAGCTCTCATATAGACTAATTGATATATATATATATATATATATATATATATATATATATATATATATATATATATATATATATATATATATATATATAAAAAAGGCTTAAACACTAATATTCCATGGTCATAATTTATTCCATTGGAATCGTAAATACGATCTAATTCATCAGACATACAAATTCAAAAAAAAAAAAAAAAAAAACAAAAAAAAAAAAAAAACAACTCCGGAAATAAAAATAGAATTTAGAGAGTGTAAGTATGAGAATGTGGGACGAATGTTAGAGTTAAAGAGAGGGTTGAATTGGATCGTATTTACGATTCCAATGTAATAAATTATGACCATGGAATATTAGTGTTTAAGCCTTTTTATTATATCCTTACTCTGTCCTGGACATTGAGTTCTACCTGGATTCTATCCTCTTGGAATTTTGTATTCAAAAAAATACATGTATGTGTATGCACCTATGTATATATATTTATATATTTGCATATGTATGTGTATATTTACCACTAATATTTATATATATATATATATATATATATATATATATATATATATATATATATATATATGCGTATTTGCACATATATATATTTATATATACAAAAATATAATTATAATATGTCGCACATAGTGCTAGTGTTAATAAAAAGAGTGCTCGATGAAATACAGCAGAGGTATTAAGTATATATTAATAAATATACATATTATACATCACCGAATTAAATATTACCACTACCAACAATGCTAAATGATGTAACCTTAGATTTGAATAGTGATTATTACAAACCATATACCAAAGATCTATATAATCATAGATACGTCTGTAAAGAATCAAGCCACGACCACAAAATTCTAGATGATTTACATAAATCAGTACATGTTAGATTACCTACCAAC